TGAAATCATGATATATTGGGGAGCCTCACCCAGGGACTGGTACTAACAGCTGATACCTTGGTATGAGTTGATACTGACTGATTCTCATAACGAACATGTTCAGGAGTTTTGCGTCTACTTTCTTACTCGATCTTTCTGGGTAAAGAACTTGTGTTAAAGAAGTGAATGGAAGAATTTCCTAACCTTTTCATACATTCAGTACTAATGTCACAGAGCATCCTACAAGGAGGAGCAGTAGGCCTTTCTTCCATAGAAGCTTCAAATCCTGCTGTCACAGAATATTACAGTGCGGAAGCAGGCCATTAGGCCCATCGATTCCACACTAACTCTCCAAACAGCATCCCACCCAGACCTGTATCCCTGCTATTCCAATGGCTAATCCACCCAACCTGCACATCCCTGGACACTAAGGGCAATTTGGTATGGCCAACACACCTAACCTGCACGTTTTGGACTATGGGAGGAAACCAGAGCATGTGGTAGAAACTCTCGCAGACACGGGGAGAATGTGCAAACACCACACAGACAGTCGCCTGAGGGTGGAATTGAACCCAGGTCCCTGGCACTGTGAGGTAGCAGGGCTAATCACTGAACCCCCCCCCCTTACTGGAGATAGCTCTCTCACCCACAGATTCCCCTTCAGCATCAGTATGGATTGATCTCATTTTTCGAAGTAGCAATTCACCCCCTCCCGTAATCTTTGGAGTTAGTTCCAAAGTATTCATAATCCTATGAGAAAAACCATCTAGCCTTTGTACCGGTGGCCCATGAGTCCAATGTTCATTGTTAAATCCATTGAACATGCTGACTTGGTTAGGGCAGATGTGGTGGGGAGGGGTGGGGGTTGTGGGGAGGTGTGGGGGGTTTTCCTTGTGTTGCAGTGGCAGTGTCCCAACTTCTGATCCAAGAAAATCAGGTTCAAGTCCTACCTGCTCCAGAGGTGTTGCTTACAGTTTGATTAGAAATTATCTATGCTGAGTTGGCCAAGAAGTGTCTCGTCTGGAGCTCACTGAGGCCTGTTTGTGTGCAGTCCATTCAATGTGAACAGGCTGACCTCAATCCCATCAGAATCTTACATTATTGTAAGAACTTGAATGAAGATTCCTCTCACCCTTTTTCATTTAGAGTAAATATAGTTGATGTGATACTGCATAGATCAATGATCTGGCAAGCAGGGCTGTTTCAGAGAGTTAAGTGATGAGATCAGTGTACATTATACCATATGATATATATGTATAAAGGCACCAGTTACATCTGGAAAAGTGCTTTGTAATTCATCATGGAAGTCTTTAGTTAACCAGCTTTAGCCCAGACTATTCCATTGTCTGTCATCAAGTTGTGATTTATTTAGTTGTTCCTCAAGTAAAACCCCTGATACTTATTGTCTGTAAGTCTCGGTGTTCACGTTATGAGAGATAGCATAATGGTTAAACCCAGAGGACTCATGAATAAGTATCTCCTGAAATCCTGTAACCCCCTTCCCAACAGCACATTAGGGACCAACACTACATATACCGCAGTGGTTCAGGAATCAAGGCAACTCACCAGCACCAATTATGGATTGGCTTAAGTGTTGGCATATCCAGTGATGCCCACATCCCATGAATGAATGAATAAGAACCGGAGAGGGTAGTGGAGTCGGTCTCATTAGGGGCATTTAAGCGGCTATTAGATAGGCATATGGATGCTAGTATAAGGTGGCGGTGGAGGTTAGATAGACCTTAGGTTTAGGGTAAAAGTTCGGCACAACATCGTGGGCCGAAGGGCCTGTACGGTGCTGTACTGCTCTGTGTCCTATGTTCTAAGAATAAACACTGAGCTTTTCTTAACTTAGAGCAAGACTTTCTGCTCCCTCAAACTGAATGAATTAGTGATGGAAATGAGGAGAAGTATCAGAAAGCCTCTGACTACAGGCCTGCCCCCATCAATGTGGAGTTATGGCTCACTCCCACTCTGCCCCAGGAGCCTCAGCCAACTATTTCTTGTATGGCCCTCAACTGGCAGAGGGTTGGATGAACAATCATGATCATATTGAATGGGAGAGCAGGCTCGAAGAGCCAAATAGCCTACTCCTGCTCCTATTATCTGTGGTAGGAGCTTGGGCCTAAAATTCTGACCATTTCCCGCATCCCCCCCCACCAAATTCTTCCTTGTGTTCAAGCCTACTTATCACAGAGACCAATGGGGCAGAGGTGGCAGCCAGCCCTGAGTATTAACGCAAAGTGGAACAATGGTCCCTTCTGAGGGGAGGTCATCTAGTGTTGGAACCTGTCTCCTTCCTCTTGCACTTATATTTAGGGTGTGGCTCAATCTGAGAGACCTTGTTAAATCTGAACCAACATTTGAGGCCCTTCTACAAAATCATATCCTGTACGGTAGTAGAGAAGGGGTCAAAGGATTAAATCATTAACAAAAAGCAAAGTCTGACTCCCAATTCACCATTAATACGCCAATGTCTGGTTTCTGGACATCTGAGTAAACAGAAACTGAAAGAACTGCAGATGCTGTAAATCAGGAACAAAGTTAACGTTTCGGGTCCTTCCTCAGAGGACAGGTCACCAGACCCAAAGCTCTGATTTTTTTCTTCACAGATGCTGCCAGACCCGCTGAGGTTTTCCAGTAACTTCTATCTGAGTAAACAGGTCCAGAGAGGCTCCTCTAGTGTTATATTCAATCAAGCTACGCCTCGTCAGATTTTGACAGCCGTTTAAAATGAACAACATTAGCCTGGGTTTTGAAAGGCACGAGAAACAGTAACTGAGGTGGGAGCTGCTGAATGCAGCAGAGGAGAGAGCTCTTCCAGCACTGCTGGGAGGTCAGGGGATGTAGTCCTCTGCTAGTAAATCCCCCATCACTATCTCTCCTTGTGTGATGTCTGCCTCGCTGTGATTGAGTAATCAGCGCTGCCTAAAGCATTCTCTCCCTGTTGTGTTCTGTCTCAAAGTAGATGCAAAATGTACCTTTAAGGGTCATGCGTATGATGTTATCGTTGTGTCATGTGACCTAATGATACATATTGCTGTGAGGCAGAACACACTCCCACAATGGAATCACACCCCTTCAGTCAACGCATCCCACATCGTCCCCATGCAGTTGGTCCTCCCCAGGCCCAGCAACGTCTGCTCCTTACAGCCAACTCCCTCAATACCACCCCTCCCCACCTTCCGCTCCTCAATTGTTGGTGATGACACCCAGTTGGGACTTTCTACCTTGCACTTTAGAGAGATGGCACAGTGGGTAACATTCCTGCCTCAAGGCCAGAAGCTCCAGGTTTGAGACCCAGTCCAGGATTTGATGGCCAAGGAAGGTGCTTTTTTTTTCCTTTATTCATTCACAGGATGAGGGTGGCTAGGCAGTATTTATTGCCCATCCCTAATTGCCCAGAGGGCAGTTAAGTGTCAACCACATTGCTGTGGGTCTGAAGTCACATGTAGGCCAGACCAGGTAAGGGTGGCAGCTTCATTCCCTAAAGGGCATTAGTGACCCAGATGGGTTTTACCTGACAATCAACAATGGATTCATGGTCATCATTCAATTCTTAATTCCAGATATTTATTGAATTCAAATTCCACCATCTGCTGTGGTGGGATTCGAACCTGGGTCCCCAGAACATTATCTGGGTCTCTGGATTAACAGTCCAGCGATAATACCACTAGGCCATTGTCAATCCTTCCACAACACACCAAAGGCACATAGTACAAGGGGGAGAGATTCCTCGTTGGCCAAGTGATTGGAAGGTCACCAGAGCCTCTTCTGTTATAGTGGCACAGTGGATCAGTGGTTAGTGCTTCTGCCTCACAGCGCCAGCGACCCGGGTTTGATTCCACCTTTGGGCAACTGTTGGTGTGGAGTTTGCACATTCTCCCCGTGTTTGTGCGAGTTTCCTTTGGGTACTCTGGTTTCCTCCCACAGTCCAAAGGTGTGCAAAGTAGGTGGATTAGCCATGGGAAATGCACCATTACAAGGATAGGATGTGGTGTGTCTGGGTGGGATTCTGTTTGGAGGAGCAGTGTGGACTTGATGGGCCAAAGGGTCTGCTTCCACACTGTCGGGATTCTATGATTACAGTGTGTAGCTCTAGAATACACCATGCACATGTGCATGTTTTCATTGCAATTTGGACTCCCTCAGCAAATTAAACAAACAACAGCTCACCACAACCTTCTTAAGGAGATTAACTAATAGAGTCAGAGTAGACAATAGATCCAGTACTCCATAATAATTCTGTGATACAGTTAGGGATGGGCAAAAAATGCTAGCTCGGCCAACAACACCTACATCCCATGAATGAATACATAAAAACCTTAGACTTTCCCATCCAGCAACCAGGTAGACTCAATCTCTTCAGGAAACAGACTGCGAACGAAAGCCTATTGTTTAACTTCAGCAAGATCCCAATGTTGTCACAAGTCGTAGGTTTGCCAACTCTAAACACATTCACCCTCCTCATACTCATGTCTTCCATGTTCCATCCTCCATAATTCGGAACTCTCTACCTGTGAATTAATTCACACCGAGTCATAGAGTCATACAGCATGGAAACAGACCCTTCAGGTCCTGGTCACTTTTGCAATGTCCCTATCCTTGTTCATCTACACAGATGAAGTAATGTTAACACTGGTATCATTGCTTTCAGGTCTCTCCATGGCTTCGCCTGTCCCTATCTGTTATTTTCCCTCAAGGTCTGCACTCATCCCATTTTGACTTCTTCATCCTCTTTAATTTTAGCTGCTCTACCACTGGATATCTTCAAATGTCTATAGGAGCCAACCTACCAACTTCCTGCCTCTCTGCTTTACCTCCCTCCTTGAAGACTCTATTTAAGACCTACCTCTTTGACCAAGCTCTTGGTCATCTCCCCCAATAGCACCTAATGTAGCTTTTCTTTGCATTTTGTTTTATAATGATGCTGTGAGGTGCCTTGAGATACTTCATTACGTTAGAGGTGCTCTATAAACACAAGTTGTTGTAGAAAAGATTGAATGCGAGGAGACCAGGACTGGAGCTGATGATATATTTTTGTATAGTTCTCACTTTAACCAGATGAGCACCAACATGCTGCTTATGATACATACAGTTTGCAAAGAATGGGAGAGCCACACACTTCAATCAATCAGACTGCCTCTTCCCCTTGCCTCCCCCACCCCACCCAACACACAAAGGCTTTCACCAGGAACCAGGCAAGAAGCATTTCTGAGGAATTGTTAAAATAATTTGGCAGAGGGTTGTCACTTAGAAAGCAATACACCTCCCTCGGAGGGTGGACAAGGAATGATTAGCCACAGGGTGGGCCCGACAGGTCATGGTAAGCGATGGATAATAAATTACTGGCTGATGGGAGGTTTCATTTGGATCATGGAACGTACTAGCGCCTCTCGGCGTTAGGGAATAAGTGTACAGATGGGAAATGAAAGCTTGCAGGTATGCTCGTTTCTATATTTAGGTCAGGAAGATAATGAAGGTATTTTAGTAGCACCTTTTCTGTTTGGTCAGCTGTACGCTTGCAACTCCGAGCAGCTCTTGGGAATGTTTGGTTTTATTAATTTTTTTATTGCTTTAAACTGTATGAGGGGTACTCAGCACTGCATGCGAATTCTCCTCCTCACCGACTGGGAAAGGTTTTACTTAAAGTTGCCGAGCTGAATGGCTGCACGGTTTGTGGCACAGCGGAAAGTGACTGGCTGGATCTCCCAGTATGGGACGGGGTTATTGAAGAGACTAATCCCCGAGTACAGGTTCTTCTTGGCGTAGTAATCAAGCCCGCAGAAGTCATTCACACCCACTGCCGCGATCAAGTTGTTATGGAGATAAACCACCTGCAGGGGGTAAAGGGAAATGTTGGCAAGGACAGCAATTAGCAAAACAGAAAAGAAACAGCACTTCTTTAAACATCCCCACAGTACTAACTCAACGTGTCTTTTCCCTGAAATGTTGTCCTTCAAGATGCACAATTTGCTTCCATAACCAGCAATGACAGCGAAATAATGACATGTGTTTAAATGTTTGTTTGTGACTGGCACAGACTTTTTGGGCTGAATGGCCTTTTTTTTCTGTGCTGGAGACCTCCAGGACTTTTCTAACGCCTTTTCTAACAATTTTGATTGGGCAATACATTACCTTGAGAAATAAACCAGTGAATGGCTGTCACCCATTTTGCTGAGTTGAAACACATATAGTGTGTATACACGTTCTTTGGGTCTGCAAACAGCAGGGCCTGTGTATTAGTATTTATAATTTCCAGTCCATGAATGTGTGTCACACTGGGAACCTGATGGACAACCCTAAGTTAGATGTCAATGTATTTCTTTGTACACTCAGGATTATCCAGCAAATGTCCAATTGCAGAATCACAACTAATTTTGGACAGTGTCGTGAGTTTTGAAGCAAAGGATTGTTGGATACAGTCTGCACCCTTTCTTCTCCAAGGACAACAACCCAGTTTCTCCAGCCTATCCGTGTAACAGAGCCATCCCTGGAACCATTCTACCTGCTGTGTGATAGCTGACACCAGCTCAAAGAATTAATCCACAACTTCAGGGGGAAGATCTTTTAAGATCCTTAGTCACTGGTATGGAAACACCGAGGTACATTTTAAGGAATCCAGGAATAAGAACAGTTGGGAGCAGTAGAAATGACTGAAGCTGCCCTATTGCATGAGCCCAGCTGTCCCCACTTTGGAAGAAAAGCTGCTCTCCTTACTCAATCTACACGTGCTTCCACAGCAATAGGTTTGAGTCACTGAATTACAGAGTAATACAGTACAGAAACAGACCCTTCAATACAACTCGCCCATCCCAACCAGGTTTCCCAAGCTAAATTAGTTCCACTTGCCTGCATTTAATATCCCATGAAATGGCCCAACAAACCACTCAGTTGCAATGCTAGGACAGCCCTGAGGAGTGGCTGGGAATGTGGAGTTGAAGCCATGATCATGTTGAATGGCGAAGCAGATACGAGGAGTCGAATGGCCTACTCCTTACTCCTATTTCTTAACTCAGGATAGAGAATAAATCCCAACAGTTGCATGTGGCCCTCGTATCTTGAGAGTTAATATTCTAAGAAATGAGTATTAATGAAAACTGGAGAAGCACTATCAAAGCATTTCACCTTGCCTCCAACAGGACAAATGCAAGAATGGCAAATTTCACAGGGAACAGTAATTTGTGCTGCATGAGGAAAGGATGTTGGTAAGTGGGCTTGGATTGGCCAAGGCACTGCTATGGAAAGTGTACCTGGTTCAAGTGAAGAAATTGTTCTTTTAATGTTCCTCTTAAAAATTAAGTCTAATAAAAAAAAATACAAAGAACACAAACAGATTAAACATGGGATCACCAAAACAAATCTATCACTGTTGGACATGCCATTTACTTACGTACCTGGATGAACCGATGGTCAGCCAAGCCGGCCGGCACTTTTCGGAGTGAGTTGTTGTCCATGTGAAGTTCCCTCAGGTACGGTGTGTTGTCCAATGAGCCATTATCCACACTGTTAATCTCATTGAAACTCAAGCCCAGTCTGCAATGGTAGGAGAAAATCAGATCAGAAGGTCTGAAGCTGATAACTAATAAGCCACTGTCATTAATAATGAGGAGGAAGAATATGCTGGAAACAGCAGCATCTATGGAGAGGGAAACAAAGTTAACGTTTCAGGTTTGTTTTTTTTAGAAAAATTGTCCATTGTCCTGAAATATCAACTTTGTCTCTCTGTCCACAGAAGCTGCCTACATAGAAATACAGTGTCATTACTGTACAGAATGGCTATTCAGCCCATCAAGTCTATGCTGTAAGCAATCCAGGCAGCCCCACACCTTACTGCTCTATCCCTGTAGCCCTGCAGGTTTAATTCTATCAAAGGGCTCAATCAATTTTCTTTTGAAGTAATTTTTGAACTAATTGATTCTCTCTGCTTACTCCATCCTTGTAGGCAGTGAGTTCCAGGTCATTATCACTCAACACGAAAAAGATTTTTCCTTGGAGCCTCCTGCATTTCTTCTCCAAAACATTACATCTGCAATTTTTTTTCTGCTTTTATTTCAGATTTCCAGCAACCACAGTGTTTTGTTTCTTCTCTGGGGATTTTCATTCTTGCCTAAGCCCAGCCAGAGCCTTAGGACCTGGTGTGAAGAGGGTTCCATCACCTCCCAGGCTGCAGATGATGGCACACTAGCAATGTCAGTGGGCTATCAATCCCAAAGCCTCGGGTTTGAATCCCACTGTGGCAAATAATGTAATTTGAATTCTACCTGAAATTAAAAGCTAGTTCAATAACACCTATCTAACCACCATCAATTGTTGTTTAAAAAGGGTCTAGGCCCGAAACGTCAGCCTCTCTGCTCCTATGATGCTGCTTGGCCTGCTGTGTTCATCCAGCCCTGCACCTTGTTGTTTAAAACCCGTCTGGTTCACTAATGTCCTATAGGGATGGAAATCCACCATGTTTGTCTGGTCTGGCCTACGTGTGACTCCAGATCCACAGCAATGTGGATGAATCTCAACTGCCTTCTGAAATGGCTCAGTAAACCGTTCAGTTCAAGGGCAATTAATACTTTGACAGGTAAGGCTTCCTGCGGAGTGCTGATCCTTTGTCAGGTGGAATGCTGAATGAGCAGCGTTCTGAAAGCTTATGATTTCAAATAAACATGATGGACTATAACCTGGACACCAAAGTGTACAGCTGGAGGAACACAGCAGACCAGGCAGCATCAGAGGGGCAGGAAAGTTGACATTTCAGGTCGGGACCCTTCTTCAAAAGAAACATCAACTTTCCTGCTGCTCTGATGCTGCCCTGTCCTGCTGTGCTCCTCCAACTCCACACTGTGTTGTCTCTGCCTCCAGCATCTGCAGTTCTTGCTATCTCGGACTATAACCTAGTGTCGTGTGACTTCTGACAGTGAGTGAACAGTGATGTGGTTCCAAGTCAGGATGATGTGTGAATTGCAGATGGTCTTGTAGATGATGGTGTCCCCTTACACCCACTGTTTTGTCTTTCTAGGTAGTACAGGTCACAAGTTTGCGGATGTTTTATCGAAGGACACTTGCTGAGTTGCTACAGTTCATCCTGTAGATTGTACACAGCGCTACCATGGTGTGTTGGAGTTGAAAGGAATAAATGTTTACGTTGATGCAGGGTCTAGGCAACTGAAGAACCTCCAATGCTGGTCTGATTAAAATCAGAGTTAACACATTTGAGGAAGTATTAAACACCAGAGGAATGCAGAGAGCTGGGTTGGTTAATCAGACTGGACAAGATCAAAGAGACAGAAAGACTGTCAGACAGTGAGCTTCACTTACCTGACCAGATTCTTCAGACCCTTCAGCGAATCAGCTTTGACCCGACTGATTTTGTTGCCATCGAGATGAATTTCAGCCAACGATACTGGGAGACCTGGTGTAGAGGGTGGACATGGGGAAGGAGAAAGAAATTGATCAAAATAATCATGTGGGAGTTACCATAAATCACCGAGGCTTGTTCAGATACTCTCTGCGGCCTTAACATATCACAGGGACTAGGTACTTGCACAACCCTGCTCTCCTGCAGGATGTAGTGCTTACCACTGGGAATATAACACAGATAGTCAGTGGGAGGGAAGGCTATGATTCATCAAGGTATGTTCCTTCCTTCTGGGAACTGTCAGGACCATTGAATCACCCTCATCGATTTAAGCAATTTATCAACAGCTGGATCATTTGAAAGTCCTGCACTTATCATTCCATGCAATGGAGTCCTGAAGGATCTGTTGACATGTCCCAACATGCATATTGTCACTTTCAGAGTGTGAAATCAGAAATTATGCCATTAACTCTGTACAAACATCTCATGGAGAAATACGAGGTGAGAAATTACCATTCTCAAAACTAATGCTCAAAATGTTCAAATTCATTCCTCTGCTCAGCATTTTTCTGATGCTGTTAACCACTTAAAATATTGCCCACTTTAAAACATAACATTGACAATTGGATCAGAATGTTTATTAATCATCTATCCAATAATATTGGCATAAGTAATTTTATTCACTATTAGTTATCTTCACTACATGATGAAGTGTTATAATCATAGTAATACAGCACTAAGGGGGAGGGGGGATATTCTGCTCATTGTACTCGTGCTATCTCTCTGAAAGAGCTTTCTAATTTATGCTTTCCCCATAGACCTCCAAATGTTTCCTTTCAATGTGTCTATCCATTTTTTTCTTGATAATTATTGTTAGATCTGCTTCTGCCAGCACATTCCAACTCACCAAGGCTCCTCAGACATCACTGTCCAAACCTGTAACATCTCCTACCTAGAGGGACAAGGGCGGCAGATACATGGATGCATTGCCAGTTGCAAGTTCACCTCTTAGCCCTACACTATCCTATACTGTCACTGGATCAAAATCCTGGAACTCTCTCTCTAACAGCACAAAGGGTGTAGCTACACTCCATGGATTGTTCTTCATAGATACCTCATGGACTGTTCCTCAAACACTGGTGTTTGGAATATTACATGGTGTGTGGGGGGGAGGGGGAGAAGAGAGACAATGAAACAATCAAAATTATATAGAAATGGTTTCTTTAGAATCATACTCTAACCTTCTCATGAGCAATTAGGGATGGGCAATAAATGCTAGCCTAGCAATACCAACATGATATGAATGAACAGAAAAAATTGCACATCACATGATAGACTGGTTAGCAAGGTTAGACCATATGGAACAGGGAGAACGAGCCAATTGGATACAGAACTGGCTCAAAGATAGAAGACAGAGGGAGTGTTGGAGAGAGATAACAAAGTTTAGAGCTGGATGAACACAGCAGACCAAGCAGCATCAGAGGAGCAGGAAAGCTGACGTTTCGGGTCTAGACCCTTCTCGTTGGAGAGTTGCTTTTCAGGCTGCAGGGCTGTGACCAGCAGTGTGTCACAAGGATCAGTGCTGGGTCCACTGCTTTTGGTCATTTATACAAATGACTTGGATGTGAACACAGGAGGTATGGTGAGTACGCTTGCAGGTGACACTAAAATTGGAGGTGTAGTGGACAGTGAAGAAAGTTACCTCAAAGTACAACAGGATCTTGACAAGATGGGTCAATGGGCCGAGGAGTGGCAGATAGAGTTTAATTTAGATAAATGTGAGGTGCTGCATTTTGGAAAGGCAAATCAAGGCAGGACTTATACACTTAATGGTAAGGTCCTGGGGAGCGTTGCTGAACAAATAGACCCTAGAGTGCAGGTTCACAGTTCCTTGAAAGTGGAGTCCCAAGTAGACAGGACTGTGAAGAAGACATTTGGTATGCTTGCCTTTATTGGTCAGTGTATTGAGTATAGGAGTTGGGAGGTCATGTTGTAGCTGTACAGGACATTGGTCAGGCCATTTTTGGAATACTGCGTGCAATTCCAGTCTCCCTGTTATAGGAAGGATGTTGTGAAACTTGAAAGCATTCAGAAAATATTTACAAGGATGTTGCCAGGGTTGGAGGGTTTGAACTATAGGGAGAGGCTGAATAGGCTGGGGCTATTTTCCCTGGAGCATCAGAGGCTGAGGGGTGGCCTCATAGAGGTTTATAAAATCAGCAGGGGCATGGATAGGGTTAATAGCCAAGGTCTTTTCCCCAGGGTGGGAGAGTCCAAAACTAGAGGGGCATAGGTTAAAAGTGAGAGGGAAAAGATCTAAAAGTGACGTAAAGTGCGACTTTTACACACAGAGGCTGGTGCGTATATGGAATGAGCTGCCAGAGGAAATGGTGGAGGCTGGTACAGTTACAGCATTAAAAAAAGACATCTGGATGGGTAGATGAATAAGAAGGGTTTAGAGGGATATGGGCCAAATGCTGGCAAATGGGACTAGATTTATTTAGGCTATCTAGTCAGCCTGGACAAGTTGGACCAAAGGGTCTGTTTCCATGATGTATGACTCTATGATTCTATGACGAGAACTTGATGTGAAAGTAAACATTCTCCTTATCTCCCACTGTGGTACTTTTGCCAATTACCTTAAATCTATATTCTCCAGTTATCCATCTCCTGCTGTTAGTAACAGCCTCTCGTTATTTACGTTATTAAAGTGATTTATCCTTTTGTACAGCGTTAGAAGCTCCCCACCTCAGTCTGCTATGAGTTAAGGGAGAACGAGTCCAGCTTCTCTGGCGGTCGTGGCTTAATAAATTCTGATTGATTTGCCAAAGTCCTTAATCGATTACAGACACACCTACGGTTTGCCACACCACAAGCTCAGTGTGCGTCTGGCAAGGCACACATGTCCCACTGTGCTTGGTAAAGGGGCTCCTTTGCCAATCTGAACTGTTTAATTTGCACATTACCTTTAGGAATGTCTGTGAGTGAGGCATCTGACAGTCGAATGAAAGAAAGCTTTTTCAATCCATTAAAGGCACCGCTGTCAATACCTGAATTTTTCAAAGGGTTGCTGCCCATTTCTGTTGGGTTAGAGGTGAAGAAAATGAAAAGAAATGTTAGAATCACCATGTCTTACAGCACAGAATGAGACCACTCGGCCCATTAATCCCACGACAGTGCGTGGAAAAACTGACTGAATTTGTCCCATTCCCCTGATTATTTCCCACAGCCCTTCAAATTTCCCCTTTCCCTCGGATTTAGAATCCCCACAGTGCAGGAAGAGGTCATTTGCCCCATCTAGACTGTGTTGACCCTCCAAAGAGCATCCCACCCACCCACACCCTAGTCCCACATTTCCCATGGCTGACACACCTAGCCTGCACATCCCCAGATGATGTGGGGCAACTTAGCATGGCCAGTCCACCTAACCTGCACGTCTTTTGGACTATGGGAGGAAACCCAAAGCACCCAGTAGAAACCCACGCAGACAACATACAAATCCCACCCAGATAGTCACCCGACAGTGGAATTGAACCTGGGTCCCTGATGCTGTGAGGTAACAGCGCTCACTGCTGAGCCACCATGCCATCCCAACATTTCAGTATTTGCCAGGATGGGATTCTAAGCCATGTTTTCAGACTACTAGCATGTGTACTAGCACAGTGACATTACCACTACACCATAGGCACCTTTATTTACACCTTATACCCTTTTGAAACTCACTGTTTAATCTGCTTCCTTCACTTGTTGAGGCAGTACATTCCAATTATATAATTTATTTAAAGTATCAGAAGGCACAATTTTTAATATAAATATAACCTAAATGTGCTTTGCGTTTTGACTTAGTGAAGATGAACCAACATTGAGGGCACAATGAACGTAGAATCATAAAAATCTAAATTCAGGTGATGGAGGATTGTAGGGGAATGAGGGGGCCATTCAGCTCCTTAAGGTTCTTCCACCGTTCATTCAGTCAAAGTTAATTTTTTTTTAATTCCTTCTACCCAAAGAAAGACAGTAAAGGAGTCGAGTGGTGGCCGATAGCACTGGATGTAGAACAGTTGAATTATGAGGAAGACTGTTCTTTATTCCAGAGAGGAGGAGAATGAGAGGCGATGCGACAGAGGTTGTTAAAGATTCCTACGTGGGTGAACATTTCTTGAACCAGAGAAGTTCTTCCACGAGCCAGCCGGTGAGACCAGGCTGGGTTCGAGCAGTTCAATGGGTAAATTTCCAGACCCTGCCTTTAAGATTGGACTCCACTCCCGCTTAGGGGGCCTGTCAGACTGTATCCACCCTCCATCCATCATAGTCAAGGCGAGCAGGGTGGGAATTTGCTTTCATTGTACTTGTCCTCAAACAATGGTGATTGGAACATTATTTTGGAATTGGGGTACAGAGAATGAACCCATTTAAAAAATTCCTTTAAATGGTTTCTTTTGAAAGATCAAAAATCCTAACAGAGTGGCTACTGGGAGGATGTTGCCTTCTGCACCTGGAGCTAGGAGACTCAGTTTAACAACAAGGATTTTTCCTTTTAAGATGGCGATGAGAGTATTTTTTCTCTTAGAGGGTTGCTAGTCTACAAAATTATCTTTTCCTGGGAAACAGCGAAGGCTGGGTCATTGAATTTACTCAAGGCAGAATTCAATAGACTTTTCACAGCCAAGGGAGTCAAGGATTTATGGGGTTGAGACCACAAACAGCTCTGATCTTACTGAAATTCCTTTAAATCACACTCTTAGCAGTTAATCAGATTAAAACAAGTGAAACCAAATTGAACCAAATAAGCCAATTGAGAAAGGTGTCAGCAGCACGAAAGGGGCACACGACTGAAAACCAATATTCAAAACTTCAATTAACCAAGTCAAACCAAAGTGTCTTTTTTGGTAATTGATAATGTACTCAAGCTCCTGTGGTGTCCGCCAGCTACAGAAGGCCTTGAGTGCGCCAGTGGACATAGGATGCTCTCTCTCAAAGTACACCTGGCAGAGACATAACCATGAAAGAGAGACAGAGATCCTACCGAATACAGAGCAGTTCCAAAGTGCAAATTGACCTAATTCTACTCCCTAGTACTAATTTCCGGCTGCATGCCAAACAGCATAAGCAGCAAGTGGGATTGCTTAGCTAAGTCTCATCTATATATGACTTCAGACCCACAGCAATGTGGTTGACTCTTAACTGCCCTCTGGGAAATTAGGGATGGACTAGCCAGCAACATCCTCATCCCATCAACAAATAAATAAAAACACAAATGCAAATAAGAGACAATCTAACCACTGCCCCCTGACATTCAATGGCGTTACCATCAGTGAATCCCCTACTGTCAACATCCTGGGATTCATCAGAAACTCAACTGGACTCACCACATAAACACAATGACTATAAGAGAAAGTCAGAGGCTAGGAACACTGCAGCAAGTAACTCACCTCCTGACTCTCCAAAACCTGCCCACCATCTACAAGCCACAAGTCAGGAGAGTGATGGAATACTCCCCACTCGCCTGGATGAGTGCAACTCCAACAACACTCATAAAGGTTGACGCCATCCAGGACAATGCAGCTCGCTTGATCGGCACCACATCCATAAACATCCATTCCCACCACTCAGTAGCAGTAGTGTGTACTATCTACAATATGCACTGCAGAAATTCACCAAATATCCTGAGACAGCACCTTCCAAACCCACAACCACTTCCATTGAGAAGGACAAGCACAGCGGATGCATGAGAACACCACCACCTGCAAGCTCCCCTCCAAACCATACACCATCCTGACTTGAAACATGTTGCAGTTCCTGCACTCTCGCTGGGTCAAAATCCTCCAATTCCCTCTTGAACGGAGGGTCAATCTACAGCAAGTGGACTGTAGTGTTTCAAGAAGGCAACTCACCACCAAATTCTCAAGGGCAGCTCGGGACAGGCGATAAATGCTGACCCAGCTAGCAACATCCTTATCCATTGAATGAATTAAAAAAAAAGCTAAGATTTTCAGAAAGAAAACATATAGCATTGTGATCCTGAAAACAAAAGGTAAAGTTACCATAGCCTCCCCTGGCTATGGGGTTGCTGTCTTTTTAGAGAGAGATAACTGGTGGTGATTTAGCCTGCAGCTCAGGTGAGGGAAGAGATTGAGAAGGAAAGTCCCTCAGTTGGTGTGGGAATTGGACTGATGCTGTTGGCATCATTCTGGATCATTAACTAGCTGTCTCACCTAACTGCCCCTGAGTTAAATGAGCTTTGCATGAAATCCAGTGCCTTAAACTCAACCCAAACTTTTGTAGCAGATTGCCCTTGAGTTTGGTAACACTGGGTCCCTTCAGCATATTTTATCTGGATTATACTATATTGGAATTAAAAAGCAATTGATTTCCTGACAGTGCCTTCAAGCTACAATACATACATACATCCAATACAATACAATACCTGCTGGGATGGTGGGACTGACATTCAAGGAGAAGTTGAATCAGGATTATATTCACTCGAGTTCAGATGAATGAGCGGTAATCTCATAGAATCCTATAAAATTCTAACAGGGCTAGACTGGGCAGGTGCAGCAAACATGGGAGTCCAGAAACAGGGGTCATAGTTTAAGGGTTAATGGGGTAAACTATTTAGGATTGAGATGAGGGGAAATTTCTTCACCCAGAGAGTGGTGAGCCTATGGAATCCACGACCACAGAAAGCAGCTGATGTCAAAGCATTGTATGATTCCAAGAAGTAGTTATATGTGGCACTTGGGGCTACAGGGATCAAAAACTATGGAGAAAAGTAGGAACATGTTTGGAGTTGGATGATCAGCCGCCATCATGTTGATTGGTGGAGCAGCAGCAGGTTTGAAGAGCCGAGTGGCCTACTCCTGCTCCTATTTTCTCGGTTTTTACGTTTCTGTGAGATTCCAATGGGATTATGTTATCCATCTGCATTGCAAACACGGCGCCTTGCCTACTGGGAGCGGCCATTGGGAATCCTGATGCGAGTCGTATTGTGACTTTTAATTACTAACCCGAGGAGTTAAAACAAAACAGCAAGATTTTGAGAGAATTCCTGGAATGTGGCAGCTGCAGAAAGTTGGGAATTCACATTGAGAGCACTAAGCATCTGAGATTATGCCCAACTCCACCCCTTAATCACTCCCAACCTTTTAACCATCATCGTCAACTGAAGAGAAAATACATTCAGTGCCAGTGGAAGGAGGGGGTGGTTCACTAGAATTGGCTCAGAGTCATGTCGAATATCAGAGTTCAGGGAGGCAGTAAGACATACCTAGGGCGTACACCTGTGACAGATTGTCAAATGCATTCTTCTTCACTTTGGTGATTTCATTCTCATGGATGCGAAGTTCATGCAGTGATGAAGGTATGTTAGCTGGGATTTCTTTCAGCAGGTTCTTGGACAAGTAAAGTCTCTGCAACTTCACCAGGGGTGCGAAGGCCTTGGGATGCACTGTACCGATTTTGTTGTTCACCAGGATCAAGGCCTGGAAAAGAAAGGAGAAGCGCCCCCACTCAACATCAGCTCGCAATTGCCACAAATTGTCAAAATACAGCAGACACTTTACACCCAAAATGGAAAGGAAAGACACAGGAAAACCTCAGCGTGTAAGACAAAGCAGCAGAGTTAATGGAGGGGAAGTTAATATCCTGACGCAAGGCACGTTTTGTGGCAGTAGGGGGCATTTCATCAGGTGGAAGCAATAACAGATGGGGAACCCTGCCACCTCTGGCCCCCACCAAAGTTAAGCCTGAACCAGGACCCCTTCCAACCCTTCCCATCGCATTGCTAACAAAGGAGCTTATCCAACCAATTAATACCCACAATAAGGCATCACCCTGCCTCCTGGGGAGACCAAATAGAATATTCACAGCAGTCTCCTGCTCAGGGTGTTAGCTCAGTGGTTAGCACTGCTGCCTTACAGCACCACAGACCCGGGTTTGATTCCAGCCGTGGGCAACTGTTTGTGTGAAGTTTACACATTCTCCCCGTGTCTGTGTGGGTTTCCTCCGGGTGCTCCAGTTTCCACCCATAATCCAAAGATGTGCAGGTTTGGTGAATTAGCTGTGCTAAATCTGTCCTGTAGTATCCAGGGATGTGGAGGTTGGTGGGTTAGCCGAGGTAAATGTGGGGCTACGGGGATAGGGTGGGACGCTTTTTGGAGAGTCCATGCAGACTTGATTGCTGAATGGCCTCTATCTGCAGTGTAGGGATTCTCTGTTCACTTGTTGTCAGGTACTCAGGCCGTGATTAAGTGACCCAGCACTAGAAAGGGAGTTTCTGTGGAGACCCACTACAGGCCATTTTGCCAGCCTATCCTGTCCAGTGATCTGTCTTCCATAACCTCCTCCCAGCCTGGGATCCTGACCTGTCTGGGTGCAGTACCATTATCAACCACTACACCCCATTGGAACTGATGAGCACCGTGAGAGCTGCTGATCTATTATTGGCGAGACTTCTGTAGCCATTGGGGGGGGGGGGGGGGGGGG